CTCACATCTGATGCTCTCTATGTGGGACGCTAGCTTCCAGAACGTGAGGCTATCCACAGACACCCTTCTTTGAATTGCCCCATTGTTCGAATGCTGTCCTAAGGCTGGGTGTCAGAGTCCGCGATCCGTCGCAGGTTTGTTGATCTTGCGCGATTCATTTCGCGATTTGCGCGATTCACGCGATTCACGCGACGGGTCACGGAAATCACAAGTGCCCGATCAATACTGCAAGGTGTTCTCCAATCCTGCCGCCACTTCTGCTTGATAGTGATGGCTGAATGACGACTGCTCATGATTCCACTTGTTTCATATTCAGTGTTTCAAATGTTCAAATGGGGCACTTGCAATTTTTGCGATCCGTCGCAGGTTTCGCGCAAATCGCAAAAATCGCGCAATCGCGAAAATCAGCGAAACCTGCGACGGATCGCGGACTCTGACACCAGCCTAAGGTCTAATCACAAGTTTCAATTGATAGTATCGTGGGTCGTAGGCACTACTGTAGAATGATCAGCCTTCCGCTCCTGGTCTATCATTGAAGGTAGAAAAGTGATCGTACTTTCTAATAATTGCTTCGTTTCGCAGTAGTTTGGAAATTTTACGCATTACTAAAGGCCCATGGAACTTTCGAAATCATTATATTGCGCGCTCTTATTTTCCATTGCGTCTCGAGTCCTGTTAAAGCATTCTATCTCTGTGATCGTGATCGTTGTTCACATCGTTATGGAAGATGGTAGTGGGATTTTTCATCAACGGTCAATGTTCTCGTTACATTGGTAAGAGTTGTTATGAAAGGGTTTCTAATCTTAAAGCCTTTTTAAGGAGACTAGCCGAAGGATCTGTTAGTTGTCCTTCGTCCAAATGCAAACGACTGGAAAACTCCCCTAACTCTGGTTCGTCCGTGCAAATTATTGGGACGTAATCTCAAGGAGGGCTGAATACGATATATGACATATTTACAAAAGTTTTTCGCAATTGTTGTTTCCTCAGCATTTCAGTGTACCAGTTTCTGTGAAACGTGTCTTTTGAATGCGAATTGTTTTACTTGCTTGAATTTGGGTTTTTTTTTGTTAGTGTTTTTTTTTTGAAACAGACAACATTGATTTGCTTGCTTCTGATGCCTGTTGCTGTGTGTTTCTCGAAGAGGAGCGCACTTTTCACTCCGATTTTAGACGGTATTCCCAACTTCGTATGACGTTGTATTGCTCAGATTGTATATTGCTTTCCTGTCGTCAAACCCCTACGGTGAGCTTTATGCTAGCGTTTCGTTTGAGTCTCTGTTGTAGTTTTATAGGTGATGATAGAAATTCGAAAACTCTTTACTTAGTTTTCATTCTCTTCATTTTTGACCTGCTTCTCTTAAGAAGTCTATTCAGATTTGCTACATGTTATGCTAACACTAAAGTGTTTAATATGATGTGTAATATATGAGAGCCTCTGTCAATACATATACAGTTTTTCGAATAATAGAGTTTTATGGCCCACTACTATCAAGTAATAATTTTTGACAGAATTTTATTCGCTAGATAGTCTGATCATTCCGAATTTCTCTGGAGAATTTTTCGCCACTAATAAATTTTTGATTTTTCTTCTCTCCCTCGTTTCTGTGTATACTTTCACGTCTATCTTAATCCACTCTGTAGTCCATTTCTAGTCACATGTTCAACCTTTTAGACATGGCAATGCTGGCATTGCCGGGAACGGCTGGATTGTCAGCTGATCAAGATGAGCAGGTGATTTTTAAGTAGTCTGACTCTTTTTGCCAGCGATGTTTGCATCTGCTGAGAAGCTGCGAGCGTGTCATTATTATGTTTTCATTAGGTTCTCGTAGATGCGCTTCCATATCTTGATACGGAGTACAACGATGCGGACCGTCAAACGGCCTTAAGGTTGATTGATCAAGAGTGCAAGGTTAGTCGTTGGAATACCCCTTCAAATATTTTTCGTATTCCAATAATTCATTGGGAAAAAGCGTGTGAACTTCTCGCTGGGTTTATGATCAGTAATGACCAGAAGAATAGCAGAAGACCACAAATCTATCAGTGTGTTGCATTAATTCCTACTGCCCAGTATAATAAATTATTCATATCTTAGTTGTCCCTCACCAAAATAACACTATTAACACGTTGCGACGTGGGCGCTTCGGCTTCGGGACGAAAGAGTGGGACGAGCGCGGTCGCATTACTTCACATAGATAAAATTTGGGTGGCAACTATATAGCAATGCGTAGATTTTAATCGGGGAATGTTGATGGAATTGATCAAAAGAGCGAGTAATGTATCGTGAGAATAGGAAGAATGCGCGGAATGAACCGGGTAACCAATTTCTCAACGCTGCGAAAACTTCTGCTAAACTGTAGAATGTTTGACTATACGATGAAACCGTGTCGCTTGCAGTTATGATTGATCCATAGGCTAAAACTGGCACAACAGTCACAAGTGCGTGATAAAAATAAAATTTTGGGTGGAACGCGCTACCGCGTCAGAATTTATGAGGTGAAAAAAGTCTTATCTGAAAGCATAAAGAGTAACCTGGTAAAGGGTGCACCCCCGTCTGGAGTTGTGCTGTTCTTAGGTTTGGGAAAAGGAGCATAAAGAGCACATCTATTGTTCTGCAAACCTGCTAGATGTCATCACAAAAATGGTAGGCGGAACATGAATCCAACAGTCTCAACAAAAAAAGGCGAGAAAGGTGACGCATACGCGGGCATCATAAAAATGCTAAAATTTGAACGATCTTTCATGGACATTCGTTGCCGAATAGGAAGAATATCTGTAAGCAGCAGTCAATAATGAAAGTTCTCAACGCATTGCTTAGAGGCAAAGATAGCAAACTATTACTACATGTCGCCGAAATGTGCTTTCTACCGCGCTTTCGGTGGCTCCCACCCACTTCGATATGCTTGGGAAGATAACTGATATAAATATATTAGGGAGCCTATTATTCAACAGAAAAGATCGGAATCTATTCGCTGTTAAATTCTTAGTCCCATGTTAATTGTCTTCTGCTACAGATTTTTCGGCCAACAAAGAACTACCTGAAGCACCTACCTGTGCCAGATTTTGATGTATTTCTTACTCCATGTATGCTCAAAGAGCAGGCGAGGATGTCCAAGAAACAGGTGATTATCCAATTGGAATTGAAACTGATAAGCTAATATTTGGGCCAGTTTTCAAATGGTCTATTAAAGGAAATGCCAAAGCTGGACATGAGCCGGTGTGAGCTACCGTGTCCATCGGGCACATCACGAGCTGGTGATAAGGTCCAGTGGAGAAAGGTACGAATTGCACAAGGGTGATGCTGTTTTTTAGTCTTTAGCCATTGATTAATCTTGTCTTCAGGCCATAAAAAACGCGAAAGCGCAGAATGAGCATCTTGTAATGAGGCAGATAAATCTCGAGTTAATGGAAGAGTATGCGGCGGAAACGTATCTACGAAGAAATAAAGAACTGGAGCAGTTGTGTACTGAAGCTGAACGAGAACTTAGGCGTACTAAAGAGCAGGTAAGCAGGGGACATTGATTTTAGTATTGTGCTACAGGGGTCTTATCACGATGTAAATTTTCTATAAACACGTAACAATCCCAGCTCAGCTCAAAACACTCAGCGGTGGTCTCAAAAGCCAAACCTCTCACCTGTCTTTTGCTCACCAGTAATATCCTTGTAGGACCCGGAAAAGATTTCAATCATGCTGTAAAGTTCGGACCATAGCTGAAAAACAGAAGCATTTCGTTGAAATATATCTTCAGACGATCCAAAATTCCTTGAAAGTTTCAGCAACTCACCCCAACATCTTGCTATCATTTATGAACGTCGTAGCTGTGGGTCATGA